CCCTCACACACACACACACACACACACACACACACACACACTGGAAGAGCCAGGCCTTACTTACATCCAGGGAGCCTGGGTGCACCAAGTGTGCCCGGCTGGAGAACCAGGCACCTCCTCGGCGAGGATCCAGCGCTTCCTACTTTCTTGGGTGGCCACTGCGTGGGTCTAGGGGCCCTGAGCCCAGTCAGTGCCAGCCACAGCCCAGCCTCTCCCACACCTTCGATCTAAGCGTCGTTTCTGACTCCAGCATTGCGGGAAATTCCCAGGGAGAAGAATGGGGAATTCCTGGGATGGTGGGGACCTTCCAGGGGCCGAGGACAGCGTCCACGGCTGCCCTGCCTGCTGCTGAGCACGCGCGATCCCCTCGTCCCTGGGGCCCAGTGCGAATATGCCCGAAGCAGCAGCAGGCGTCGTGAAGAGCCCTTGGGGGCCCACGTTGGGCTCCTCAGGGTGGTGAGCCGGTTGTCATACCCTGTCATCCCCTTTGGTTGCTGGGCCCCACCGTCATCTCTTATTAGATGTCCTTGGACCACGCAAAAGTGCGGGCAAGGTTTCGGGCTTGGGCATTGCGGGCTGGGCCGGGAGCGGAGGGCGCAGGCTTGTGGCGCCTTTGGCTTCCACCTCCGAGCCTCTAGCGCCACCTAGTGGTCGCTGTGCTCCAACGTTCCTGGCAAAGTAATCGAAAAGGGAGTGCTCTTATTGAGCAGTATTGTGCTCAAGGTACATTAGGAAGTAGAACGGGGCATCCTCACGAGTATAAAGAACGAGCAGTGAACCCACGTTTGCTTGCTTCCCCGGATACCAGTCCCATAATAGGGTCTGAGCCACGTTGGCAGCTGCTGGGAGCCCTGAGCATCCATAGCGGAGATGGAGCTGGGAAAGCCTGGCGTTTGACTTCTCCGGTCTTCTGTCCACTTCTAAAACGTAAAAGCATCATACAGATGTCTACGAGCCCTTCCCAGGATAATGTTCTGCCAATAGAACTGGGTGTGGTGGTGCATGCCTGTAATCCCGGCACTCTAGGAGGCTGAGGCAGGAGGACTGGAAGTTGGAGCACAGCTGGGTAACTGAGCTAATTAATGAGACCCTATCTCAAAATAAAAGTATAAATATGGGCTGGGGATGTAGCTCAGTGTGAAGGCCCTGAGTTAAATTCCCCGGCACTGCCCAAATAAATACAGAAAGCAGAAAAGAAAGAAGGAAGAAAGCAAATGCTGTAAACTACACAAAGAAGTTGTAGCTTTGGAGTTAGAGAAACCTGCATCTGGACGCCAGCTGTGCGTCTTCGGGCCGGCTAGTTTACCTCTCCGACCTGAGTGAGAACCTATGGATTAAGTGAGAATTATCCGCAGTGCTTGTGACGGGCTGGCACCTGGCAGGAGCTCAGGGAACAACGCGGGCAATGTGGATGCTGCAGATCTGCTCACCTGAGTCCCACACCGCATGGCCCTGGGCGTGGGTTTGCGGAGGAGGAGTCTTTGCCCCAGGAGTAGTGGGGAGAGGAGAGGCTGGGGTCTCTCTGGGACAGCTCTGAAGGTCCGTTCTCAGGGGGATCAGTTCTGAGCATGGACCGAGCACAGGATACTCGGAGCAGTCCTTCCCCCAAGCTTCCTCAGGCGGAGGGTACACAGCGAGAGTGCCACTTCCCCCCTCATGGTGGGCATCTGGTGTGGTGACAGCTGAGACACTGAGGGGAGGTGACCTGCCTGAACTGCTGACTGCACAGTGACACCTGGCTGGAGCTCTGCTTGTCCACCCACCCCCACCCCGACAGCGCCTCACTCTGTGGTCCAGGCTGGCCTTGAACTCACTGTCCTCCTGCCTCAGCTTCCTGAGTGGCAAGGTGATAGCCATCTACCAGTACACGCCTCTTTATCCCCTTGGGACTCCTATTTTTGTTAGTTTGCAGCACTGAAGATTGAACTCAGCCCAGGGCATACTAGACATATGCTCTACCACTGAGCTACACACCGCCCACACCGCCCCCCGCCCCCCCTCCCCCGCACTTTTAAAATTTTAATTGCTTTTCTTTTGGTACTGTGAGTTGAACTCAGGACTTTGCACTTGTCAGGCAGGTGCTGTACCACTGAGCTATCTCTCCCGCCCCTTTCATTGTATTCCGAGACAGGATCTTGATAAGCTGCTCAGGCTGGGTTCCAAATGCTGATCCTCCTGTCTCTGGCTCCAAAGCAACAGCAATTACAAGTATACTGGGGACTGAACCCCAGGCCTTCACACTGAGCTACATTCCCAGCCCCTTTAAAAGTTTTTTATTCTGAGACAGGGTCTTGCTAAGTTATTAAATTGCCCAGGCAGGGCTTGAACTTGGGATCCTCCTGACTCAGCCTCCCAGAGTGCTGGGATTACAGTGTGCCACCACGAGCAGCATGTGGCTCGTTTACACATAGCGTATCAGGGCCCCTGTGGGTAGGACGTCAGGTTTTCTGGTCAGGAGGCCTTACAGTAAAGCTGCTTCCAAGTTGGAGATCCTGCTCCCCAGGAGATCTCCCTTGGTATTTACAGTGGCTGTTTGAATGACATCCAGCCCTGGCCAAACAGGTGGATGTCCCTGCGGGGCACAGGAGCATGGCCACCCTCCCTGGACTCCTTTTGCTCCATTTTCCTCCCGAGCGCCCGTGAGTGTGGGGCTCCTCGGCCTCCCTGCCCTGGCCCCTCACGCACCCCGTGCTCTGTGGCAGCCGGGGCTGCAAGTGCACTGCTGAAGCCGCCCCGTCTGCCACAGCTTCCTCCTGGGCTGCAGCTGCTTCTCCCTGCACACTCGCCGGGCTCCTCGCCCGCCCCGCGTGGTGGGGGACTTGCCCTGGCCTCTCTCCCGCCCTTCTACGCTGCTTTTCTCCTGGAGCTTGTGGTTTTCCCTGCCTTCGCATCCACCTGCTCAGGCTTACAGGGGCCCAGCTGCCCATCAGGCCGCCTGTAAAGCAAGGACGCCGTCCCCGTGCAGCAGCGTGTAACTCTGTCCATGGACTTCGGGTAACAGCTCAGCTCCTGGGCGTGGCATACAGACTCCCTCCCCGTCGCTCCAGAGCTGACCTCTTGCTCTGAACACCGAAGCCCCCTCCCTAAATTCTCCTGTCCCCTAGCCTCCTCCAAGTGACACACGCGCTGCTCTGCAGGGACATCACCTACCCCCACGATGGTGTCACCCAGCCTCGAGCCTGTGGCATCTTCTGCCTGGAGCATCGTCCTCCTTCCGGAGTGTGCCAGGCAACCTCACAGCAAGTGCCGGGCTCCTTTCACATGTCCTCTGCCCTGGAGGTCTTCCAACCCCACTCCCTTGCCCTTTCAGAGCATCCACCACATCGCATTGCAAGTATTTATTTGCATATTTATTTCCCCCTTTGGACTGAAAGCTCCTTGGTGCCAGAAGTCTTTTGCTTTTTTGTTGTTGTTCTAGGGAGTGAAGCCAGGGCCTTTGCACTGAGCTATAGCCCCAGTCCTTTGCTTGTTTTGTTTTTGTTTTTTTTTTTCCGGTACCAGGGATCGAACTCATGACCTTGTGCTTGCCGGGCAGGCCCTGTGCCACTGAACTAAATCCCCAGCCCCCTTGTTTTGTTTTTGTTGTTGTTGTTTTTAATTTTGAGATGGAGATGGGATCCTGCTAAGTTGCCCAGGTCGGGCTCAAACTTACCGTCCACCTGTCTCAGCCTCCCTGAGCGCTGAGACTGTAAGTGTGCTCCACCATGCCCGGTATCGTTTGCATTTTTGTATACTGAGTGTCTGAAGCACAGCAAGGGACGTGGTGGCTCATGCCTGGTCCCAGCATTTGGGAGGCTGAGGCAGGAGGATCACCAAAAATTTGAGGCCAGCCTGAACTGCATAGCAAGACCCTGTCTCAAACACCACCACCAACAAAAATAAATAAATAAAACACAGCAGACACTCAGTAAGTGTGTGCTCTTGCAAATGTCTATCTGTCTTGTGTCTGGCTCAGAATGTGGTGGGATTCTTTTTGTTTTGATTTGATTTTTGTGGTGCTAGGGATTGAACCAGGGCCTCGCACGTGCTTAGGCGAATGCTGTACCAATGAGCTAGGTGACCAGTGACTGGCCTCTACTAGGCTCATGTTTCAAATCTGAGAAGTGGACTCCAGTAGCATTTATGCCATAGGACAGTGAGGGGTCTCTGAGGAACCTGCTGAGCACCGGGACCTGCTACGTGCTCAGCAGTCACGGTGACTGTTTCGCACGGCTTTGCACGGCGCAGCTGCCTTAAAATCAGGTAGAATCAGGAGAGCTGCACCCAGTTCTTGTCCTGGCCCTGCTGCCTTGCTGGGGAGCCGGGGTCCCATGCTAGTCCGGTGGCCTGCAGCAGGTACCCTCGGAAGGGGCCACAGTCCGACTGCTGTGGTCCCGGGCCCGAGAGGGAGGGTCTCGGAGGACAAGCTGCAGAGGGTGGCAAAGACCATTTTATGACCAGCAGAGGGCCCTGGCCAGCCAGTGGCCTGCGGGTGGGAGGGGGCCGGCTATGCCAGACGCCTGACCGGAGGCGGGCCCAGCCGCCAGCTGCCTCTTGATTCTGCCCAGCACTTGGGTCCCGGCCTCACCTGCTCTCCCTGGGCAGCTGCGACCTGTGCGTCCGGCCATGCGGTGGCTGTGGTCCCTGGCACTCTCTCTCGCTGCTGTGTGGGCTGTCGGGCAGGGCGGGGTCTCTGGGGACAGAGCTGAGGCCCAGGAGCAGCAGAGCCGGTCCAGGAGAGGAACCGAGGCCGGGGTGGCCAAGGAGGTGCAGCACTATGTACCCGAAGAGTGGGCCGAGTACCCCCGGCCCATCCACCCTGCCGGCCTGCAGCCCTCCAAGCCCTGGGTGGCCACCAGTCCCAGCCCCGACAAGGGTGGTGACGCCCCAGGCAGCGGGCAGGAGCCGAGGGGCAACCTGCCGGGGACGCCGAGTCAGAGGCTGCAGATCCAGAACCCCCTGTACCCGGTGACCGAGAGCTCCTACAGCGCCTACGCCGTCATGCTCCTGGCCCTGGTGGTGTTTGCCGTGGGCATTGTGGGCAACCTGTCGGTCATGTGCATCGTGTGGCACAGCTACTACCTGAAGAGCGCCTGGAACTCCATCCTGGCGAGCCTGGCCCTCTGGGACTTCCTGGTCCTCTTCTTCTGCCTCCCTGTTGTCATCTTCAATGAGATCACCAAGCAGCGGCTGCTGGGTGACATTTCCTGCCGGGCCGTGCCCTTCATGGAGGTGAGTGAGGGCCCTTCAGGGCTCGGCTGTGGGGCTGCCTCACACAGGGCCCTGTTCCTTTCTGTAGATCCGAGATGCCCCCTCCCTGACCTCCCCGCCATTGTTCTACCCAAGGAGTCCCTCTGTCCTTTGTTGTATCCTCTGAGTGCCTGTGGCCACTGCCCTGCGCCCCGCACCAGCCTGCCCCCAGGCAGTGTCGGAGGCGCGGGTCTTCTAGACACACCCTGGGGTCAGGTCGGTACCTGCGCCCAGTGTGGGCACGGGACACACACACACACACACACACGCACACACACAGCCGTCTTTCCTCCTGACTATGACCACTGTCATCATCACTGTTGTCTCCACCACTAACCTGAGTCCTCCCTGAAAGGCAGAACTTGCATCTGGGCACCACAGCTGGCAGAAGCTCTGGTCTCAGCTCTGTCACCGACATACTGGTGGCACAGGGCAGGGCACATCTTGTTTTCCATTTCCTTATCACCCAAGGTAGGGGTAGACCAGATCTTCCTTCTAATTTTGGGTCTATCCTAAAATCCTGAACTAAGCCAGGTGGGGTAGTGCACTCCTGTAATCTCAGCACTCTGGGAGGCTGAGGCAGGAGAATTAAAATTCTGAGGCTAGGCTGGGTAATTTAGTGACTTAGCAAGACCTGTCTCAAAAGGAACAATAAAAAAGGACTGGAGATATAGCTCACTGTGAAGGCCCTGTGCTCAACCCCCAGGACTAAAAAGAAAAAGTTTTCTAAAGTGTGCCGTTGTGCCCTTACTTCTGGAAACTCCTCTCTGACGACAAACCTATGGTACCGAAGGCTGCGTAGATCACACAGAGAAAACGTAATCACATCACCCCGAAACTATTGCAGTGTTGGTGCTGTGTGAGACCAGGAAGTCTTTGTCTCTATGTGAAAACACAAAATAAGGAAGTTGCCTTCTCAGTCTTGGCTGTGTGGGGTCACAGTGAAGACTGTGGGGACTGTGGCCTCCCCTCAGGCTGTTGTGCTTCCGTGGATGACGCCGCGTGACATGGGTGACCTGCCCGGTCAGACCGGAGAAGGACTCAGGGCTGGGGATCTGTGTCCATTCTGTCCCCAGTGCTGTGTGTAAGTGATGGTCTCACAGCTCGGCAGGGTCTCCGGCTCGGCCCCCTGCCCAGGGAAACCACCTGATGGTGGCCCAAAGTTCTCCCACATAAAGGGGACCCTAAAGTCGGGGCAGCCTTTGCAGGTGAGCGCACGTCCCGAGCTGACAGCCTGGCTCAGCTTGGAGTGCTCGGACACAGGGCTCGGAGTCCAGCAGTCTAGCAAAGAAACTGGGCTTCTCTGATCCCTGGTTGAATGATCTTGGTTGCTGACCCTGTTTAGACGTCAGTTTCCCCATCTATCATTTTTATGTATGTATTTATTTTTGGCAGTACTGGGGCGTGAACCCAGGGCCTGCATACTGAGCTGCTTCCCCTGTCTTTTTAAAATTTTGAGACAGGCTCTGTCTCCAAGTTACTGAATTGCCCAGGCTGAGTTCTAACTTGAGATCTTGCCTCAGTCTCCCAGAGTGCTAGGATTACAGGCATGGCCACTATGCCTAGATTTTGTTTTTTGTTATTTGTGCTGGGGATTGAGCCCAGGGCTAAATTTTGCTCCATCACTGAGCTAACATCCCCTGTCTCTCTGGGCTGTGTCTGTCTCTCTCTCGTAGCACTGGGGATTGAACTCAGTGTCTTCACTCTGAGTTGCACCCCTAGTATTTTTTTTAAAAATAATTTCTCATTAAAAATAAAATGAGTTGAGTGGCATATGCCTATAATCCCAGCACTTGGGAGGCTGAGGCAGGAGGATCATTGTGAGTTCCAGGTTAGACTAGGCTATATAGTGATTTCAAGGCCAGCCTGGACTACATAGTAAGACCTTATCTCAAAACAAAAACAGAAACAAAAACAAACAACAAACAAATAGAAAAAAAAAACTTGGCTAAATTGTTTTTTTTTTTTTGGTTTTTCTCCGGTACCGGGAACTGAACTCACGACCTTGCGCTTGCCAGGCAGGCGCTTTGCCACTGAGCTAAATCCCCAGCCCCTAATTGTTAACTTGCCCAGGCTGGGCTCAAACTTGTGGTCCTCCTGCCTCAACCTCCAGACTGCTGGGATTACAGGTGTGTGCCAATATTACTCACCAGCCCAATTCTTGAGGAATTAAAAGGGTAAGGGCCATAAAGAGCATAGAATGAAGGAATTCAGTGTAGGGCGGCTTCATTTGGGATTGGTAGAGGGGAAGAGGGGAGGCGCAGACAGGTCCATGGACCCCCCTCCCCCCGCCCTGCCTGACTGGGTTGTGGCCGAGCTCTCCCTGAAGTCCGCCCATCTGTTGGGCCTGCTGAGGATGCAGATGACCCAGCAGCTGGAGGCCGGGAGCTGGGTGAAGTGGGGGAGACACAGCCCCGGAACTCTTCTCTGCGGGAGGATCAGGAAGCTTCTGGGAGGGCGGGGGAGGCAGCTTGGAATGAACTTGGGGATGACTGGAGGTGCAGAGGGAGAGAATGGTGTTTTTGCCTGGCGCTAGAGACTGCTCCTCCACAGGCCTGGGCTCCCTCGCCAAGGGGGTGGGGGCTCTCACAAAGGACACCCGTGGCCGTGCGAATAAACCCGGGATTGTATCCCCCAGCCTGAAGAGTGGGGGCTCTGGACAGGAGGGGGATCGGAGCACAGTCTCCGAGTGTGGCGGGGCTGGCTGGGGAGCTGGGGCGGTGCTCCTCCTCCTTTATGCTCTGTGGCTGTTTCTTCCTTGCTGTCTGCCTTGCTGCTCCTTCCTGTGAGCCCGATGAATAGCTTGTGGGGTGAGGGGCACAGGCCTCGCCACTGGGGGATGCTCAGCCACACCTTGGGCTACTCCGGACAGGAGGGAGGATGAGAATGTGTAAGCCACCTTCCCAGGATCATCACCCTAAGTCAGGAGGCGGAAGGGCTGCAAAGACCCAGGATTTCGGCCTGTTCTGTTCTCCCTTAGAGGTGACCTGCAGTCCCGCAGACAGTGCGGGGCCTGTGGGGGGCGGGCTGAGAGGCCCCTGGCCTGAGAGAGAGGAGGCAGGTGTCATGTGAGCCCCAGCTCCACCACTTATCAGTGCTGGGATCCCAGAGGAGCCTCTTCTCGCCTCAGCCTCCATTTCTCCTGCAAGATGACGACGAGGGTTTGGTTATGTGTGGAGATTGCTCAATGGGCAAAAAAAGTTTGCCAAATGCAAGTTTACCATTGCTTTATTTTTATAATTTTTGCAATGCTAGGGATTGAACTCAGGGCCTTCACACTGAGCTACATCCCAGCTTTCTAAAAATTTTTTATTAAAATAAAACCCCAGATAAGTCATGAAGTTGCTCAGATTGGGTTTCAACTTGTGATCTTCCTGCCTCAGCCTCGCAGATGGCTGGGGTTACACCATCAGGCCTGGCCTTATCTCTGTGGGTCTTCTATCCTGACACATGGGGCTCACTTCTATGCTCATGACTAATCCAAAAACCATCCTCCCCATCCCTGTGTCCCTGTAGGTTCTGACCAAGCACTTCTTGTCTCCCCAAACCCCACAGGTGTCTTCTCTGGGAGTCACGACCTTTAGCCTCTGCGCCCTGGGTATTGACCGCTTCCACGTGGCCACCAGCACCCTGCCCAAGGTGAGGCCCATCGAGCGGTGCCAGTCGATCCTGGCCAAGCTGGCTGTCATCTGGGTGGGCTCCATGACTCTGGCTGTGCCGGAGCTCCTGCTGTGGCAGCTGGCGCAGGAGCCGGCCCCCACCGCAGGCACCGTGGACTCCTGTGTCATGAAGCCGTCGGCCAGCCTGCCCGAGTCCCTCTACTCGCTGGTGATGACCTACCAGAATGCCCGCATGTGGTGGTATTTTGGCTGCTACTTCTGCCTGCCGATCCTCTTCACCGTCACCTGCCAGTTGGTGACATGGCGGGTGCGGGGCCCACCGGGCAGGAAGCCGGAGTGCCGGGCGGGCAAGCACGCGCAGTGTGAGAGCCAGCTCAACAGCACGGTGGTGGGCCTGACTGTGGTCTACGCCTTCTGCACCCTCCCGGAGAACGTCTGCAACGTGGTGGTGGCCTACCTGTCCACCGAGCTGACTCGCCAGACCCTGGACCTGCTGGGCCTTGTCAACCAGTTCTCCACCTTCTTCAAGGGCGCCATCACCCCAGTGCTGCTGCTGTGTGTGTGCCGGCCGCTCGGCCAGGCCTTCCTGGACTGCTGCTGCTGCTGCTGCTGCGAGGACTGTGGCGGGGCCTCCGAGGCCTCGGCCACCGACGGCTCGGACAACAAGCTCAAGGCCGAGGTGTCCTCCATCTACTTCCACAAGCCCAGGGAGTCCCCGCCGCTCCTACCCCTGGGCACACCTTGCTGAGGCCAGGCCAGGGGAGGGGATGGGGCTGCCACCCCAGACCCAGCCGGGCCTGCTGTTTCTTTCCCCGTAGGTCTTGCTTGGCTGCCCTCCTGCTGTCTAGACAGACCTGGCTCCTCTTATGCAGGTTTGGGGTTGATGAACCCCTCTCCCTGAGCAGGGCTTTTCCTGTCATGCTGAGGGGCCGTCTAGCACAGGTAGGCTGTGACCCTTCTAGGTCCTTAGAGCTGCCCAGAATCTCAGTCCCACCGCTGCAAGCCGCAGCAGACCTGCCCCCTTCCTGGCTTCGGCCTGATTCCCTCTCCGCCTCGGACCCACCCCCACCCCCACCTGGGGCCCATCCCGGAATGCGGGCTCCTTGGTGGGAGGCAGCCCAGTAGGCTCAGTACCCTTGCTTTGGACTGGATCTGGGGATTTCTGCTTCCTTCCCCTCTTTCACAGGTCCCCGGGTTGTCTTGTCCAAACTCCCTGGTCACGCGCTTTCCTACAGAAGGCCCTTCCCGAACATCAATAAACTAGGTAGAACTACCCTGCACCCATGCACTTTCTTGTGCCCTGTCCTGGCAGTGCTGGTGGCACCAGGGGTTTCCCGGGGCTGGGCAATGCCAAGGGCCGCATTCCTCCTGCCCATCTTTGGCCCTGGCTGTGGCTACTGTCTTGCCCTGGGAGCTTTTGTGGGGCAGAGAGGATGCGGGGCTTGGGGACCTGAGGGACTATGTATTTATCCTGGTCTGGAACCAGCAGCCTCTAGCAGTCAAAGGCTGCCAACTTGTCCCCTCTGAGCCCCCAGCTTTGAGTCACCCTCTCCCAACAAAGCCCTCATTTGAGGGAAGCCAGTGGTCGTCCCTCTGTGAGCTACGGGGCTTCCCAGCCTGGCACTCTGTGAGCGGCTCTTGTTCAGGTCTTAGAACGGACTGTTTTGCCCGTAGATGGTCCAGCTGCTTGGCCCCTGGCTGCCCCCATCCGCCCCCGCCCCACCACCCTTCCTGCCAGGGCAGGGCTCTGTCCCATGTCCCTAGCAGACCCTGCAGCTCCTCCTGCTGGTCCTGCCCTTGAAGTCTGCCCTCCTCCAGCCATACCTCTGGGGTCCCCCAGAGCACTACTCATGACCACCACATCTACCTAGGATGTCCACCGACACTGGGCCTCAGGAATTGTCCCCAGGGGCCCAGGGACGGTGAGGGGCAGGAGGTTGTGAGTGGCCTGGGCCTCATTCTTCCTGTCCAGCCACCCACACCCCTTGGCCTCGGCCTGCCCAGTGCCCCAGCGCCTCCCCCAGGGATCTTAGCAGCCTTGTTCTCTCTCCCTGGCACCCACCCCCAGGGCCAGTGACACCGCCAAGAGAGAGAGGCCGTTGCTAGGTGATAGTGCTGCCATGTACTGGGGAATGACACCACCCATTTCTCAGCAGCCCTGTTGCCACAGTGACCGAAGCCCCCAGCTTTGTCTGTGGAGACTTTGGCTGGGAGACTTTAGGCTGGAGACAGGGCCAGAGGCGGGCTCCCCCAACCCACCCTTCTCTGCTCCGAGCCACCCAGGCCCTACATGCGCCAACAGCTTCCTAAGGGAGGCAGGAGGGGGACGGGTGAACCGAGGTGAAGCCGGAGACAGACTGGGCTGAGGATGGCCGGCTGGTGGGGGGCATCCTGTTTAGGGGGCCTGTTCCACAAAGGCCACCCTTGGCCCCTCCCTCTTGCCGGCTCAGACCAAAGGAAGAGAGATGGTAGCTCCAAGGCCCCACTGTCGCTGCCACCTCCCAGGCCTGCCAACGTGAATGGCCTGCAGAATTCAGTCAGCAGGACAGCCGGCCTTGGGTAAGAGCCACTGTCCCTCCAGCCTGGGCCAGCTGGGGAACAATGCGGGGTTTGTTGCTCAGGGGTCCCAGGCTCGGGGCTGGGGGGCAGGGTGGCACGGGGGTGGGTGTAGACTTGAGCTGGGGTGTTTGGAGCGGGCGCTGACAGTTACCCTCTGAGAGCAGGTGGCAGCAGATCAGCCCTAAGGCCCTGATGTCTGACAGCGGGTGGGGGTGACCTTCCGCCCCTCCTCTGCTGGCAGGGAGTCACTTCCTTCCATCTCAGCTTCATCCTCCACTACTCCTGGGACCAGAATGCACCTGCACAGCCTCAGTCTCAGCTTCCTTGTCTGTGACACGGGAACAACCCCTCCTTCCCAGCCCTGTGGTCAGCGTCCGGCACGGTGCCTGGCACCTTCTCTCCCTGCCCCTCCTTTGGGAACTGCACTCTCTAGGACTGTGTGGCAAGCCCGGCCAGGGTGTTCTTAAACTCATCCAGTTTGAGCATCAGAGTCCGAACATGACGGTTTACATGTACCATGCTCACGGTCTGCTTCCTGCTCCACCTGAGCAGGTTCTGCGGGTCCCGAAGCACCTCCGAAGGCAGCCACTGTTGCGGGGAACCCTGGCTTGTTCCAAGTCACAGACTCACACCTTGCCCCAGTTCAGGACAGCAGGACCTGAGAGAAGCCCATCCCCACAGTGCCCCTGATGGAAAAGGGAGGTGGCCCTCATCTAGCTCCCAGCCAGGGCACACTGGCCACCTTTGCAGTGAGGGATGGAGGGGACAGACCTGGGTCCACCTTCAGTCCTAACCAGATGGACATGCCTCACACCTCTTGGGCACCGAAGGCGTGGAGAACCCGCAGTTCCAGCTGCCAGGTTCCGCGTAGTCCAGGGGTGGCGAACCTGTGGCTGCGGGCTGCAGTGTGATGTCTGTACAAACAAAAGCTCTGAAGGTTCACCCTCAGGGCTCTGGTCCTTCCTCAAGCCCTTTTGTAGGCGGTTCTCTGATGGCCCTCAGGGCCAGACAGTGCCTCGGAGAAGCAGCCCTGATGAAGGACCAGGAGCAGGGAGGGCTGGGGACTGGGGAGGCCTGGGTGCCCACAGGCAGCACTAAGCGCAGACGGGGTTCTCCACGGCAGGAGCAGGGGCGAGGACGCAGGGGGTGCTCTGTAGGGCCCACTCCATTTTCCAGGGTGATGGGGAGGCTGAAGGAGGGGGCGGGGAGGCGGGGCCTCCTGTAAATCTGGGTCAAGACGGCCTCAGATTTGAGCAAGCAGGGCCCGTGAGCCTCGGAGCAGCAGCTGTGGGGGTCGGGGGTCCGGCTCCATAGGTGGGGCACGGGGAAGGCTCGCGCAGTGGAGGAGCAGGGTGGGAAACCGGGGTGTCACAGCCAGCCAGGAGGCAGCAGAGGCGCCCACCACTCCCGTCTCCGTGACCTGGGCCCTGGGCAGCGCCTGCACTGGTTCTCCTTTCACCGCTAGGCAGCTGCCTGCTCAAGGCAGGGACCACGGGGAAGTCTGAGAAAGGAATGAGGAGGCCGGGTGGGGCCGAGGCACGTGTGGGAGACTTGTGAGGGGCCATTGTGCACGGCCCGGGCACAGGGCCTCTGTGGGCGTGGCTCCCGGGCTGTTTGTGCCCAGGGTGCGGGGTGTGCTGGTGTCCCCCGTGCCTGCTGGCCGCTCTGCACCATCTGCAGAGAAATAATGGGCACGGTGTACCCCCTCAACACAAAATTGGAAATTTATTGTTATTAGAAGGCAAAAAAATGTACAGTTACAAGAATCATTTTCCAAACAGAGGTTAAATATGAGTGAAAAGTGTAAAAAAGGAAGAGGAACATCACTTTACAAATCATTAAACAAATAAAACAACCAAAAACAAAATCCAAAGAACCAACCCCCCATGCTGAGTTCTCTCCTTGTGCAACTCTGCAAAATGAGAACAGAAAATGAGGTGGGCCATGGAGGTGGGGGCCCTGGTGGGGCAGGAGCTGGGGGCCGGGAACAGGTGTCGGGCGCTGGGGCAGCATGGACGCCAGCTTCCGGCCCCTAGGCCTGGTGATCTCTGGCACCTGGTGGTGCCTGGTGGCCCTACCAAGGCTGGGGACAGAGAGGAGGTGCCTACCTAGGCTCCCACCAGCCTGTGGCGTGCAGAGACAGGCCAGAGCGGGAGGCAGAGACACACAGGACAGGGGGCGGCACCAGTGCCCAGGCTGGCACCTGCCCCACGCGCCAGCCTCGTCTCTCCAGATGTGAACTTGCCCAGCCAACCCTGCATCTCTTTCCCTCTCTCCAGACTGCCCCCTCCCAGATCCTGAATGGCCCCTGCAGCATCAAATGGTTGATTTTAGTCTTTGCTTAAATTAAAAAATTAAAATATATATACATATATATACTGTACACACAGGACAATAACAGAGAGTTGAAAAGGGAAGGGGGGAAGCGAGGGGGCCAGGGCTGGGCACCGGGGCTGTGGACAGGTGAGGGAAGCGGCTGGGCGAGGGGACCCCTGGAGAGGGGCAGGGGAGAGGCTGGAGGCCCGATGGGGGGCGATTTATTGTACAGTAAAAACAGGAGTTCAAACCTCAGCAGAATGGGGCTCTGGGAGCCCCAGGGCCCTCCCCTCGCTGAGTGAGGAGGGGTGCGCTTAGGGGGACAAAAGGACGGGCGGGGAGCTCGGCTTCAGGTTTCCATGGCCACGGTCCCTGGTGTGAGGGAGAAGGACCGCCGTCTCAGCTTCTCCGCGACTTTGAGTGCTGAATAAGCCACTGTAGGGTGATGTCTGGCCCGGGACAGGAGAAAAGGCTCATAAGCTTTTGTTGTGCTGGGTGAGTGGGGGGTCAGGGGAGACAGCCGAGGGAGTGGCGGTCAGCCCGGGTCACCAAACTGCAACTACTAGAGGCACCCGATCCAAGCCTGTAACACCGTCAGACGCAAGGAGCCCGAGTACACGGCCAGCGAGGCAGAGCTGGGTGATGCCTACGACATGGGCCTGGATGCCCCAAGGACCACAGGGCTTTGGCTAAAGGCCAGCTGTGGAGGCGGAAGCCTTGAGAACCTTATGCTAAGGCACCAGAACAGTCTGTCCTCTCCTTTCCCCACGGCCTCCTGCGGGGCCAGCAACTCCCCAGACTCACGCACCAATGTTGTCCTTCTCTTTGCAGGAGATGGAATAGCAGCAGATCTCTCGGTCCTGGATGGCAGACAGATTCCTAGGGGAGACCAGATAAGAGTCTGCAGGGGCAGGGACTGCCCAGGGGGCCTGGGGCCTGGGGCCAGGGGAGGGCAGAGTTTTTTCTTGCTCAAGGCTTTACAAGGAGGAGGAGGGCGAGGTGCCTGCAAAGGTGTGCTCTGCTGCCACCGTGTGGCGGACGCTAGGAACAATAATAAGCGCAACTCCAAGGCGGGTGGCTGGGGAATGTGGGGAGCTGGAAGTTACTGTCACTAAACTCACATTTTCTCAATCAACTCCTTCTCATCCAGAGCTCCGGGGAGGTCTCGCTTGTTGCCCAGGACTAAGACCTGCAGAAGAGGGAGAATGAGGGCTCGGGGGTCGGACATGCACACACACACACTCTCTACCCTGCAATGCCAGCTTCCCCAGCCCAGTGACTTCCTCCCAGTGCTCCACTCCCAGGCTGACCGGGATGCCCTGCAGCTGAGGCTTGTCGAGCAGGTTGTGCAGCTCGTTCTTGGAGGCCTCGATCTTCTCCTGGTCAGCAGCGTCCACCATGTACCTGGGGAAAGGCAGGGTGAGGACAGCATGTGAACACCATGGGCTGAGCCCAGGGACAGGAGCTGCTGCTGGGTCAGAAAACCTCTGGTTCCACACGGTCACACCGAGGGCCAAGGGCCACCCTGGCCTGGCTCAAGGACCCACTCACTCTCCGAATGCTTTTGAATCCACAGCAGGGAAAAGCCTGGGGCTGCCCTCCTCAGTGCTCGGGGGAAGCTGACACTGTGCAGAGCTCGGGCCCTGCTGGATTAGCTGTAAGTCCTGCCCAGAGTGACCCACTTACGTTTTCAGGGAAAGCCTGGATAAGCTAGAGTGGGAAAGCAAAGCAAACCACAGGACATTTTCTTGCAGCAAGATGTTAAAAAAAAAAAAGTTTAAAGAATCTATTATTTATTCTATCCAAAAAACTGAATCTGATGTTTGGCCATGTGTATGTCAAATAAAATTCTTACTACCATTAGTAATTGTGGTACTGGGGACTGAACCCAGGACCTTTGCACTGACTTACATCTCTGGCTCTTTTTAAATTTTTTTTTTTTTCTTTTTAAATTTTGAGATGTTCTCACTAAGCTACAAAGTCACCCAGGTAGCACTTGAACTCCCAATCTTCCTTCCTCTGCCTCCCCAGTACTAGCTTTACAGGCATGTGCCACCCTGCCAGGCTCAACTTTTTGTTCATACTTGGGGAGCATTCTACTACTTACATATCCAGCCCTTAAAATTATTATTTTGGTCTTTTGAGACAGGGTCTTACTATGTAGTTCAGTACATAGCCCAGGCTGGCCTCAAACTTGCAGTGATCCTCCTGCCTCAGTCTCCTTGAGTGCTGAGATTTCAGGCTTGCACTTAGAATTTTTTTTAAAAAGGGACTGAATCCTTTGAACCATCCCAAATGGTTCAGCAGGAACAATGACGAGGAAGGTGGCACAGCCCATCTGGTTTCCAGAGTCCTGGGTTCTTCAACTGGGCAACGGGCACCACGGCACTGACCCAATAGGAATGAAGCAGTGTGCAAAATAAAGGCAAGCTGTGCAGACAGTGGACTGTGAACCGGGATTACAGCCAGTGTGCTTCGGAGTCCCTGAGCTCCTGCAGGTAGCAGGGGCGGGGAAACCTGCAGGTCCGCCCGGCCCGTACTTACACGATGGCGCTCACTCCTCGGCAGTAGCGCTCCCACATGCTGCGGAATCGGGGCTGTCCCCCAATATCCCAGAGCTGAGCGAGAAGAGGGTAAGACGGCCTCAGTAGCAGGCAACCAAAACCTCTCTGGTTCCCCCCACCCCGGTTCTCCTCCTCTCTTCCCCACATTCCTCTGTCCCCCCCCAGCTCCCCAGCGCGGAGCTTCCCTCACTCACCTTGATGGTCACGTTCCCTTTGGTGATTTTGCGCATGTTGAAGCCCACTGTGGGGATCATGTCCTCATTGAACTGTCCTGACTGGAGAGAAGAGTCGGCATTGGAAATGGGGTGAACAAGCAACAGCACCCTAGATGTGCCCTTGCTGATGGCCACCGACCAAAAGGCTGTGGGGTAACACAGCGGTCAGGCCAGAGATGCTGGGCCTTCCCATGTGGGGCGGGTATCACAGCAGCATCTCTTCCATGTCCTCTGCTTGTAGGCAGGATGGCTGTCACCAACCTGGGTGTCCAGCAGCACCCCAAGATTTCCTGTGCAGAAGCTCACCTATCTCAAGCAATCCCACAGGCTCCCCACCTGGACCGGGGACGTTCTTCCTAAGGTCTAACCTGCAGTGCTGTGTGAACTGAAGCCCCTGCACTGTCACTAGGTGCAGACAGACTGTGCCCATGGAGGGGAAGCGTGAACTACTTCCCAGGTCAAGAGCCCCAAACAGCTCGCGAGCTGACACTTAAGGGAAAGCAGGCATTTCCAAGCTGATAGTGAATATTAAGTTGTTGTTTTTTTTTGTGTGTGTGTGTGGGGAGTAAATTGGCCACCCCTGGAAAGGCAATGCATGCTAAGCAGTTTCAGGATCGCCCATGGTTTGGGCTGGCTCGACCTCTATCCACTTGTTAGGGTGGATAACCCACACTCTGCTGTTTGTTTACTGATGTGTCTCCCCGCCAGAACAGTGCTGGGTCTGTAACAACAGCACTAGTAAATGTTTGCAGGTTGCTTGGGGATTGACTGCGTAATTCCATTTCTCCCTGAATCTCTGGATTATTCTAAACTGGCTCCCAATAAGGCCAGACCTCATCCCTCCAGGGCCATCTCCATGTGCACAGGCAGGACATTTCTGCTGACCCCCCCAGAGGCAGGTGGAAGGAGGTGGGGGCTCATTTAACCTGGAGCCTGAGGGTGTCTTACACAGCCTTTCCTCCTCCTGGGTGGTGGAATAACGTGCCTCCATCCCACAGAGTCAGGGGATCTGGCCTAGGCCATGATGTAGGAGGTGAGTGATTCTTATCCAGTACCCTCAAGTCTGAGTGAAGACCCCCTGGGTCCCAGGTGAGCACGTGCATCATGCCTTTGCATCCACACACATCAACTATTCATCAAGGCCTTAGTGGACCTGTGATAGTCACCAAGGTAGAGACAGCTCCCCGAAACTTCCTGAAATTGTGCACAACCCGTGTGTCTAAAGCTTTTTTTTTTTTGGTTTATCTCCCGTACCAGGAATCGAACTCACGACCTTGCGCTTGCCAGGCAGGCGCTGTGCCGCTGAGCTAAATCCCCAGCCCTAAAGCTTTGCTTGTAGGTACATTCATCCTTTGGGACCCACAGGGGGTCATTCCAGGAACCCCTCAAATAACTAAATCTGTGAATGCTCAGGTCCCTTGTATAAAAGGGTATAGTGTTTCCCTGTAACCTGCACGCATCCTCCCATCCACTTTAAATCACCTTTGATTACTTATAGTGCCTAATACAACCTAAACACTATAGGGGGCTGGAGATTTAGCTCAGCGGCACAGTGCCTGCCTGGCAAGTGCAAGGTCGTGAGTTCGATTCCTGGTACCAGAAAAAAAAAAAAAAAAAAAAAAAAAAAAAAAAAAAAAAAAAAAAAAAAAAAAAAAAAAAAACTAAAAAAAAAAGAAACAAAAACCAAAAAAACCCCCACTATGTAACTAGTTGTGATACTATATTGCTTAAGAAATAATGAGAAGAAAAAAGTATACACATGTTTAGTACATTTTTTTTAGACAGGTTTGGCTTCCGTTGCTCAGGTTGTCCCCAAACTGGGCTGAAGCAATCCTCCTGTCTCAGCATCCCAACTAGCTGGTTCTTCTGAATATTTTTGATCCTCAGTTGAATGCACAGAGGCAGAACCCAATAATACAAAAGGACTGAGTGTGTATTTTTCTGGGGAAGGGTCCCTAACTTTTCTCAGATATCCCAAGGGTCCAAGGGCCCCTAGAAATTAGGAATCACTGAGAGAAGTTGTTCCTCCAGGGGATCCCCTCCCCATGGCTTTATAATTGCCCTACCCCAGCAGGATGACAGGCGTCAGGGTGGGGAAACTTGTGGACTAAGGGCTAGCCATCCCTATGCATGCTGACTAGCAGAGAAGCCCAGTTCTTGTTCCTCACCCATCCCAGGGAGCTTGGACAAGACTTTAGCATCTCTGGGCCTCAGGGAGAGAAGGGTTTGGGTCTCCTGGGAATTGTGAACAAGGCTCAGGAAGTATTGGAAAGGGTTTGATTTTGCTTTTAAAACAGGGTCTCGCTATGCAGTTCAGGCTGGCCTTGCGCTTACTTTGTAGCCCAGGCTGGTCTGAACTCTCAACAATCCTCCTGCCTCAGCCTTCTGAATGCCGGGGTTACAGGCATGCGCCACCACAGCCAGCCCTGGGAATGATTTGAAACAGCAATGGGAACCATCATTGCTCTTTGGCACAGGCTCTCAAACAGATGAGAATGTGGCCTGACAGATGTGACCAGGGCAAAGGCTAGGAGGAGCCCCAGGGAGCTGGTGCCCGCACACGCGGAGTTCCTGTTGAGGTATGAACTGGGGCTAAGTAGGAATCAGGTTATGACTTAATTTCCCTGCTGATGACTCCTTGCACCATAAGCTCCTCACTAATGGTAGAAAGAACCTTAAGACATTGAGCCCAACTTAGCTCAGACTTGAGTCCATTCTGGCCCATTCTCTCTTCGGTCAGCTCCAACTATCAGAAAGTTCTCTCCCTCTCTGCCCCTCTGTCGGTCTGTCTGCCTGCCTCTCTCCCTCTTCCTGTCTATCCATCTCTCTCTCATTCTGTACTGGAGCACTCAGAGCCTGTAAATCAAGCTATATCCTCAGGCCTTTTTTTTTTTTCTTTCTTTCTTTTTTCAGAAAGGGTCTTGCTAAGTCATTAGGTTGCCCAGGCTAAGTTCAAACTTTTTTTTTGTTTTGAGACAAGGCCTTGCTATTAGTTCAGACTGACTTTGAACTCACTATGTAGCCCAGGCTGGCCTTGAACTCCTGGGGATCCTCCTAAGTCAGCTTCTGGAGTGCTTACAGGTGTGTGCTACCATACTTGACTGAACTCAAACTTGTGGTCGTCCTGCCTCAGCCTCCCAGAGGCTGAGATTATAGGTATGTGCTACCACACCCAGATTATCAGGAAGTTCTTATAATGAGCCAAAAATCCACCTTCCTACAATTTCCACCCTTTGTTTCTAAGTCCCTTTGGGTATCCCAAGGCTGGTTCTTCCACTAGGCAATCCTTTACGCTTTGAAATATTTGAAAGACTCTTATTTTTCTTGGACAAAAACATCGACTGTTTTTGCAGCATCACAACTCTTTCAAAAATGAAAAGATCAGTTTCAATGCCTTAGAAGCAATGTGCAGTCCCCATATAATTTCTTTTCAGTTCACATTAGCCAGTGAGCAGCAGTCACTAAACTCAATTCCTAATTATAGCCAAATCTCATAGAGTGAGTAGAAAACCCAAAGGGGAAAATGCTGAGGAAACAGAGGCCAAGCGAACAAGCGAAGGTGATTTGGGGCATCGGTGGTGGGTAAGGACTCGAGCCCAGGGGTCCTGATTCTGCATTTCTTTCAGGAAGGCACTGTGCTGTGATTATACCCAGGGCCAGCAGAAATGCCAGGCCCGTAGCCCTGGAGGATCTGGGGAACAGTGGAGTTTCCTGGACACTGGAATTCCAACTGCAGTCCATAAGGGGTGGTTTTTCTTGGGAGGCCTCCTCAGAGAAGGGAAATTTGGCGTGCTTTTTCCGGTGCCAGCTGAAGCGATACATTTAATATCAAAAAGGGGAACATGTGGGCTCTTTATTTTGAGAAATTTTCCCTAAACATCACAGCAACTCTTGACCCTAGCAGTAGAGTCTGGGATTCTCGGGTTCTGTTTCTGACCTGTGTCCCAACCTCCCCTGCCCTAGATATGACGCTGGTCTAGAGTTGGGAAACAACCCATCTGGGTACCTGTGGCCCCTGCCCAGGAGCACAGCTTCACTCGTGCTCCATGAGGAGAGCTTCCCTGGGGACAGGAGGTGACACTTAGGCTGAGAGGCAGCAACTTGCCTCTTCTCAACTGGTCTCACTTCAGAGACAGTTCCCAGATCTAAATGCCTAAAAGTCAAGCCAGCGAGCCTTGCAGGCAGGAGTCCACATGTGAAGCCAAGCCATGCCAGGTCTAACCAGGTGGGGAGGTCTCTGATGCTAGGGGCAGGGCCAGGCAGATAGGAGCCCAGGGGCGCATGTTAGCTGAGAAAAGTATCAGGCCCCAAACCTCAGCATCGGCCTGCAGATCCTGCCCTGCGGGATAAGGAGTCAGGAGACGCTGGGTAGAGGAAGAGGCAGAGGTCACCTGCAGAGCACAACAGGAGAGGAAGCCAGTGCCCAACTGTGTGCAGGGCCCCTCCAGCCTTCCTTCTGCCCTCCCGCCTCAGGGCCAGGGCAGTCACACCTCCTCCCTCCCATGCTCCTTGCTGGGGTGCTGAGACAGGTCAGGGTCAGGAAGGCCCATCTCCCCAGGCTGGGGAACAACACAGGCAAGGTTGGCAGCGCCAGCCTGGTGGGCCACATTCCTTTGTGGACCTAACTCATCAGCATTTCTGATTAGGACCTGGTTAACTCACAGTTCTCGGAAACCCCACCTTTGGGACTGGGGCCGGGGCCCTGGGCAACCTTAGCTCCTGTCCCAAGCCTTGCTGGGCCGCACGAACCCAGACCTGCCTGGCTCGAAATGCAGGCCGCAGCCATTACTGCAGCCTGGGCTCACACAACCTGGGAGCGCATCTTCCCCTTTTCGAGATTTTTAACTCCTTCTCCACCACTCGGCTGCACAGAAAGGCTTACAACATCCCCTCCCGCCCCTCACTCTCGACTCCACATTGCTCCCAGAGCCACTCTCCTTGTCCCCAGAGGGGCAGTGTCCCTCCGCGGCATCCTCTCTGGCCCGGAGTGCCTCCTCTGGCAACTTCCGGGCCAGGCACAGACTCCAAACTCCCCTTAGGGTGCCACCCTCCCCGGACTCCCAGCGACACAGCAGGTCCAGAAGAGGTTCTGGGGAGGAGTCTAGGGTTCAGCCCGGGGGCTCAACTGACTCCTGTGTCCCTGAAGACACCTCTTCCCTCCACCCCCGGGACCGGAGCTTCTTCGTCCCGCGAAGACGGATTCGGCCCTCAGGGTGGGGCAGGGCCGGCCCAGCCCCCCGCCCCCAGGCTCCCCGGCGGCCGGTCCCGTGACGTCCCCCCCGCGGGGCTGGCAGGCCCGGACACTTTCGCCCCGTCATGCCCCCGGGCGCGGGCGCCCGTCTCAGCCCGCAGCGGGTCCCGCAGCCCGGTTTCTCCTCTTCTCTGCCCCACGGCAGTGCCCTTCTGGTCCAGGCGAGGGAGCGGGTCGCGCGCCACCCCGGTCCCCCACTGGCCTTGCTAGGCCCCCAGAGCCCAGGCCGGCTCCTCCCCCGCCCGGCGCCCG